CAGTGTTTATTCTCAGATCCCTTAGTTGATTGATTATGGTTTCATTGGACTCCCTTTCCTTCTGACAGGATCCATTCAGCTTCCCTTTGTGGCCTCCCTGGATTCCTTCAGCTGTCTATTTATGGATTCCATGAATGCCTCCATTGGTCTTTGTCTATTCTCATCCCACTCAAGCAATTCCTGTATTACTCTTCGATTAGCTTCCTCATGCTCACGCGATGCCTGTATTACTCTTTGACTGTTCTCAGCCTGCTCATGCAATTCTTGTATTAATCTTTGATTAGCTTCCTCATACTCATGAGAGTCTTATATTAATTTTTGGTTAGCCTCATCATGCTCACGAAGTTCCTGTATTAATCTTTGGTTAGCCTCCTCTCTCTCCCTATCATGCTCATACTGAGTCCTTTGCAGGCTTTCAATCTTTTCATTCACCACCATGTTTACCAATAATGTTTGCAGAGCTTTTTGGGAACTCTCCTCTGGGTTATTCATTAACTGTTCTGTCACCTGATTATCATGAGTGGGAGTTGAGATGCCTGGACTTGCCATTTTTCTTGTTTCTCCGGCTTGTTCTGCCCATTTGGTATGAAAATAACACCAACTTCACGCTAGAACACTATTTTAAAGCAACCAGAGTCCTGTAGTTGCACAGATTGATCAACGCAGTCAAAATGGCTGCAGATACAATCTATTTCAACAGATAATCCAATTCAACATCAAACTACTATGGATTAACGGGTTAAGAACATCGAAGAGGGATTCAGCAGACCAGAAATTAATAGGTTTAGGGAGAATTGTTGGGAAAAATAGGATTAGAGGAATGTGGAGAGGTAAAAGGAAAGAGTGAATTTAACCAAGCTCTAATTTCAGAGAGGAAACGGATATAACAATAAAAAGAGGACAGAAAGAAACAAAAAAATGAAAAAAACAAAAATTTAAATCTAAAAAATATGTAAGTATAAATAGTATTGATAGAAGAAAAGGATAGAATGAGAGGAGAGAGACAAAAAGGAAAAATAATAAAAATTTAAAAATGGAATACTTAAAAATTATATAAGTATAAAGAAATAATACTACTATTAAAGGAGTTAAGTCTAAGAGGTTGTGAATTGAGCAATCAATTTTTGAATTAAGTATGCACGCAATGAAGGATAAGGTCTAATAATCGATGCTCGTTATGTATCTGGAGATGAGCAGAGCAGCAATTATGTTGCAAAAAAAAAAAAAGGACCAAAAGGTTAAGAGATTTCAAAAACAAAAATAACACACACACACCTAAGTAAAAATTGCGAAAGAAAAAAAATCGAAAACAATTTTTTAAATTAAAAATAGGTAGAAAAAGACGTGTTCTTTGATTTTCTTTTCTTTTTTTTTTTGGGGGGGGAAGGAGGATCTTGTATCTCCTCTGTGTCCGTAACCAGTCTCTTGGTGGAGTCTCTGGTTTGCTTGTGGTGTTTAGTTTTCCTTTGGCTTGATTGGTTTCTTAAGTCAGTTGGTTTGAGCAGGCAGAAAGCTCTGCCTTACCCAGGTCTTTGTGATCCTCCTCCCAGACTAGTTCAGTGGGAAGGAGATCTACTTGAGTATCAAAAAAGAGGGAGATGGCTATTTCCTCTAGCTTAGACTTGCTGTGATGACACTACATTGTGGGTAGGGTTGAAGCCTATCAGCAATCAGTAGCTTTTCCCTGAGGGGCTAGCCCCTGAGACACTCACAGAGCCCAGCCTGGAGCCATTCTCAGGATTTATGTTTACTGAGTTTCACTTGTTTTTCTTTTACCCCTCCTGCTGCTAAATCTGGGGCCTAGGCTGTAGTGGGGAGGGGCAGCCTCTGGCTCTGTTTACCCAGGGAAGAAAGCCACTTCTCTGGGGGCAGAGCTTACTCTGCCTGGGAAGGGCAGAGGTGTAAGGTGCCCTGAGTGTGAGCAGGGCAGGTCAGGTACCTGTGACCTGTTGAATGGCTCTTATTTTATTTTTCAAGGCCTGATTGGAGCTAGCTGCTTTCAGCCAGGCCTTTGTCAGTATCAAAGATGGAGTTCTTCTCGTGGTGGAGGAGGGACTACCTTCCCACAATGCTCCAAGTAAAGGAATGAGGATGCCTTGGGTCTACTCATACCAGTCTCTTGGTTTCCCAGCCGTCCATGGTCTGCAATCAGCATAATGAGGATTTCTGCTCCTTGTCAGTTCTTGCTGGTGGAGGAGAGAATCTGCTCACACACTGGGTCTGGTGCCTTTGTCCCAGATTCTCTCTGTTGATATGGAAGCCCCAGCAGCAGCAGCCACCATGGCTGCTGCGGCAGACACCAACAAGTGCTCAGATCTGTCTCCTTAACCAAGCTGCCTGAATTTTTCCTCCCTGGCCAAACTGTATTGTGATGGCACACTTGGTGTGATTCTCTGGCCTAGCACTGTTCACTGGAACACTAAAATTGTTTTCTATGCAAGAGCTTGGTTAGCCTCCAGCTTCTCCTCCACCATCTTCCTCTGAACTCTATGCATTCATTTTCTGTCCTTCTACTTTAGTGTTTTTATCTGCTCTGATAGTCTCAAGATTTTTACATCTAGAATCATCTAAAAATGGGTAATTTCTTTCTCCTTTTCCTATTTGTTTTTTTCCCCTTTTATTTCATTTTCCTGCCTAATTGTCCTAGCTAAAACTTCTAGAACTATCTTGAGGACTGCAGGTATATGTAGGCTCAGTGGTAGAACATTTGCCTAGCATGTATGAGGTCCTGAGTAAAATCCCTAGTACTAAAAACAAACCAAAACTAAGGCACTGAATAAGAGTACTGGGAGTGGATACCCTTATTTTGTACATGATCTCAGAAGGAATGCTTTCAATTTCTCCCCATTGAGTATGGTATTAATTGTATGCTAAAGCTAGCAATGATCATATTGAGGTATATGTTCAAGGCTTTTATCATGAAAACTCACTGAATTGGATCAAACAATTTTTCTCCATTTATTGAGATGACATAGTTTTTACCCTTCATTTGCTTCATTTGCTCTATTACATTTATTGATTTGTGTATACTGAGATATTATTGCATCCTGGGAATGAAAACAATTTATTTTTGGCCTAAGATCTTTTGACAAACTACTGAATTCAATTTACAATTTCATTGAGGACTTTTACATTGGTCTATTGGGATATTGATTTATAATTCTTTTTAAAATTGTATTTTATTATCTTTAAGTAGTTGTACAAAGGAGTTACCATTCAACAAATCAGTTTATCAATACAATGCATCTTGACCAAGGTGTCTGTCCTTTTATCATTCTCCCCCATCCCTGCCAACCCGTCCCTCAATTTTCTTACTTTCATAGGATATGCATTGAATATTATGACTACATTCTTCCCCCTTCTGCTCTTGTTTATCCTCTACCCGTTAACTTTCCCCCACACCTTTCAAAGGCCAGTTTCCTGGTATTCATTTTGTTGGGCTTTGAGTTTTCTTTTTCATTGTGTCCAAAGCAATGCTGCCCTCCTAGAATGATATTGAAAGGCATCCTTCCCTTCTCCCATTGTGGAAAACAGTTTAAGAAGCAATGGTGTTCTTTAAAGTTTGGTAAAATTCAATGGCAACATCATCTGGTCCTAAGCTGCTTCTTTTTACTGGCCTATTCAGGTTTTTAAAAATATTCTCTTGGTTCAAAAACCAAGGCTCCACCGACTAGGCCACACAAGAAGACATTATCCTACCTAACACTGTGAATATGTTATCTATAAAGTGATTTGAGGACCAAGAGTTACCAGTAAAGTTGGAATTTTCTGCAGTGACAGTTAATACACTCTAGTAATTGAGATTTGAATTATGTTGTATGGAGATTTATGTTATTTATGTAAACCATGGTAACTGGGATTTGTGCAAATTGAAGAATGCCTGCTAACGCCAGTGAATAAGTTGGAAGTGACTACACATGCAGGGCCAGGACTGCCAAACATAAAGTACAGTTGACTCATTTGCCCTCAGATTTGAAAAATACAGGTAAAAAGATCTGAGTTTTGTCTTGTACTGTAGTTCAAGGCCACAAAAAATCTAAAAGCAATACAGCTTTTCTCTTTGAGAAACATGGTATCCATGGAAATGAAAAAAACCTCAAGAAATACAGCCAAGTGTGGTGATATATGCCAACAATCCGAGCACTCCGAAGGCTGGGGTCTTAGTCCAAAGCCCACCTAAGCAATGCATAAAGACATCCTATTTTTTTTATTTTTGCTTATGTGGTGCTGGGGAATCGAACCCAGGGCCTCATGCATGCAAGGCAAGCACTCTACCACTGAGCCACCTTCCCAGCCCAAGACATCCTATTTTTAAAAAATACTAAATTTCTCAAGAAATGATATAATAATATACTTTCCCCCATATCTCTCCCATCATTGGCCCAATTCTCCCACTGAAAAAAAGAGACTCCATGTATCTTATAAGTTAATACCCAACTAATGATGTTTTTTACATTGTAGGGGAAAAAAAGTGTCATTTTTTATGCTTACCAATAATCATAAAGAAAAATAGCTCTTCTAATAGCTGATTAAGAACATACTAAACCCTTCCTATGTGCTCATTATTGAATAAGCCATGGAAATGGAAATAAGAGACATAGGTTTCTGACACTCTTAGATAAAATAGAATTTGTTCAATATTGAAGTGGTGATATAAAGTTTCTCATAAGTCCATTTTAATTCAATAGCCAAAAGATCAATTCTATACTTCTGATAGTGATTACAAAGTTCAGTCTTCTTAGTATACGTATTCTTGTCACACCACACACAGGCAGAGGCATGTAGAGGCTGAAAGGTGTGTTTTCCCTACCTGGCAGGTGTCATATGTACAACTGTAGCAAACATCTGATCTTATAGAACAGGACACACACACACACACACACACACACACTTCACAATGTATTAAGATTCCAAAAATTTTTATTGTATAAATTGGAGAAGAAAAAGGAAAAGAAACAGCATTTCATGAAAATTCAACATTTAATGAAAACTCATTCCTGAACTCTATATACCAAATTTTATTGTATAGAATTCATACCTTCTCAGTCAATACTATTTTATAATACTACTTCAGAAGTCTCAATATTAGAGGAAAATGTCACATCACACAATGGCGTTGTACATGAAGCACAATGCTTATTCACCAGTGGCTCCTACTGGGTCTCTACCATGAGTGCCTGAGTTATGGACATGAAGAAAATGCCTCTAAGGCAGCAGCTCCATTTCCTTCATGTTTAACTCATGTAGGACCCAAAAGTGCAGAGTGCATATTTCAAGCATACATTTCAAACTTTGGTAATGCCATAATAAATTAGGAAAGGTAAGTTCTTAGATACTCTTTGAGCATAATCATTCAACTTGTCATTTCACTCTCTCCCTCCTTGCAAAGTCTTTCGTGTCACTACAGGGAGTAGACCCTGATCCATACTTTGAAACTCACTACAGAATTTGTGCCTTAAATTCAAGACTTGTCAGTTGGTGTTGATAAAGCTGGTGAGAGGGCAACCTCTGTTCTTTTCAGGTAACTATTCACATCAGTCCTCCTTGGGATGTGGTCTACCCCACAATTACACATCGAAGTCCTTCAGATCCCCCCAGCTGGCACCGAGTTTTACTCTCACTTTCAGCTTCACAGAGAGTTTTATGGCACTTTCCATTTCATTCTTGACAATCTGAGCTACCTACCAAAGGGGGAAAAAGGATTAATAATCTCTGCCTAATCAAAGGATGTTTCCCAACTTACCCGCTGAGATAATAAACCAGAACCGAGGTCTGTTCAGTGCTACTGAAAGCCAACCAGAAAAGAACCAGGAGGCTCATTCTGTCCTTCATGGCTGAGCAAAAGCTCTGACCACTTGAATCAGAATGTTCAGAGCTTAGAAGCTTGCTAAATTCTTTAGAAAAGACTTTAAAGTCTTTAGTTTCAAGACTCCAAATTCTTCTGTTCTCCAAACAAAAACATCAGGTATGACTCTAAGCTGTCTTTGCTCCATCTGTAAGGACTAGACATTTTACAGCCTCTGTACCAGGGTACATTTCCCCAGCATCTCACGCATGGGGAAGAATAGGGGAAAGCTGTCTAGCTGAGCTACAGGGTCTTAGCTTCCCGGAGAGTGGAACGCACACTGCAAAAATACCTTAAACACATCCTCTTCTGCCACTTCATATAAAAGCTCGTCATGGAGTTGAAGGATGAAAAAGCCTCCTCTGATTGGGCAGAAGATTCCTGGCAGTCTTCCTTTGAGCAACAATCCTACCACAGGAAAAAAGAGCAAAGCTGAGCAGCATGTCACTGAGCCATAGGATAAATGTTTTCTTTTTCCTTTTGTTTTTGAGATCATGAGAAACCACAGGAAATGTCATGAAAGTAGCAAGCTAGTCTGCCCATTATGTAAATCCAAATCCCCAACAACTCCCTTCAAGAGAGGAGTCTACCAATGAAGTCAGCACATAATGCTGCTTCACATTGGTCTCATTTCTCAGAAACAGACACTTTCTCTCTTTCCACAGAGTTTTATACAACCTTATGAATGTGGCACCATGCAGACCAGGGCCCAATTACTAATCCAGGAATGGGAGCTCAAGGCCGGGGAGTGTTTCATTAAGGGTTACTCCATGTCTCCTTACGGTTACATGTAACACTGTGGTAGAATCAGTGCTTCCCTAATCAGACACCACATTCTAGACAATTCTAAGCCTTAGAATTACTAGGTTCAATATTTGGATATGGGAATGTTTGTAAATGCCCTGAAGTTGCACTTAGGAGCATTTATGGCTAGGCACTGACGCCTAACACCTGTAATCCTAGCTACCTGGGAGGTTGAGAATAGGAGGATGGTCGCTTAAGGATAGCTGAGCAAAAAGTTCACAAGAATCCTTCCCATGCCTTCATTACAAGGGAGTCTGAGATTGGGAGGAAGCAATCTTAGCCACACAAGTCCATGAGACCTCATCTCAGTGGAGGGAAGTGGAGTGTTACGGTGTATGCTTGTCATCCCAGCTATGACAGGAAGCTAACACAGGAAGATTGTAAGACCCTATCTCAAAAATAACCATTGCAAGCCAATGCCACTGGCTAACATCTGTAATTCTAGCTAATGTAGGAGGCTGAAATCTGAGACTCACACTTTGGAGCCAGCCTGGAAAGACAAATCGGAGAGACTCATCTTCAATTAACCAGCAAAAACCCAGAAGTAGAGATGTGAATTAAGTGGTAGAGTGCCAGCTTTGAGTACAAATACAAGTTCAAGCCCTGATACAGGCACAAAAAATAGCCCTCTTTAAAAAAGAAGGAAGAAAGAAAGAAAGGAAGAAAGAAAGGAAGAAAGAAAGAAAGGAAGAAAGAAAGAAAGGAAGGAAGAAAGAAAGGAAGGAAGAAAGAAAGAAAAAGAAAGAAAGAAAGAAAGAAAAGGAAAAGAGAAAGAAACCATGGCTTGAAAATGACGAAGAGCCACTGTAGTGGGCTTAGCTATACACTTCCTATCTATCTGGACCTCTTAGTAGATCATGCCTCTGCTCATTAAACTCAGGCTCAACATGAATCTTTTTGCATAACTGGCTCTTCCTCCTTTCACATATGACTTTAACTGTCTGTCTGTAGTCCACATTTGCTCATATGTAGTTCTCAGGAAGTAGGAGATTCGAGGTCACTGAGCTAATTGCAAGCCACTTCCACACCAGACTACGAAGCTGTGTGCCTGTGTGTCAGTCTGGCTAAGATCTAATCAGCCCCACTGGGCCCCACTTAGCTCATACCACTGATTATTGCAAGTGTTTCTCATGATCATCTTTATCCTCTTAATTTCCCCGGACTCAGAATGCTGTGACCCTTCTGTTTCTTGTGTACCCTGCTTTCTCAGGCTCACCCTGCTATGATCTCACTCGCCTGTGCTTCCTTAACCTAGCCGGACACATCATCTTCAGTGACAGTCCCATATTGCCCACCCATAAATAATATTGCCTAAATTCTCATTTGTCACTCATCACTTGATGTGAGGAGTTAAGTATTTCAGTCAGGTATTATATCTTCCTTCCTTTTGGTTATTTAACTTAAAAAGTGAACAACTTCTAAATCTCCTATCTTTATATAACTAGCTATATCATTCTCTATAACCTCTACATATACATTTGCCTCCACTGGAAGCAGAAAATTCCATCCTGCTGCTCTGTATGGAAACCTACCTCCAGCAGTCTACCCTTCCCTGACATGGTCCAAATTTTCTTTCCCCCATGACTTCCATCATGATTTGATAGTGTCAATGACAGTGAAATGACATTTAATTTAAAGCAAAGGTATGGATATGTGACAAAGAAAATTCTGTGTACTTGTTAGAACAAGAAATAATTCAAACAATAAGAACAAAAGACTTCTTTTTTTTTTGCCAGCTGTGGGGCTTGAACTCTGGGCCTGGGCACTGTCCCTGTGCTCTTCAGCTCAAGGCGAGCACTCTACTGCTTGAGCCATAGCACCACTTCCAGTTTTCTAGTGGCTTATTGGAGATAAGAATCTCACAGACTTTCCTGCTAGGGCTGGCTTTGAACCACGATCCTCAGATCTCAGTCTCCTGAGTAGCTAGGATTAAAGGTGTTAGCCACCAGCACTTGGCTAAGAACAAAATTTTTGACTTTTAAGACAACAAGAAAAGATGACCCCATCAGCTTAGGATCACATGTGATAAGGAGGTTGTCTCGAAGTATATTCCCTGACTTCAAAGAACACAAAAGGTTAAAGCAGGGGTCTTGGCAAAGGACAAACCTGCTCTGTCTCTTTGGAGCATACCCTCTCGATGACCATGAGATTTGAAGATCGAGTGAAAGGTCTCTAGTTTCTTCTGGATGTTAACTGTGGCTACTTTGACTATATCAGCTGCTGATCCTTGGACTGTTGTGTTGATAGCCTGACGCTCAGCCTACAAAAGACAGTAAACAGTTGTATGTCAGACGCATGTGATTTCATAGTTGCCCTCAGTATTTGTGGATTAGTGATCATATTTGCTTCCAGAATGGCCATCTGGACTGAGCTATGACCTAGGACATCAATCATTAGGCTACATCCTAAGAATAACAACCACAATGATCTACAACTCAACATTCTGGCCTGTCCAAGGGAGGATAGATTAACTAGAAGATCAGAATGCTTCTGTTTAGAAAACTTCAACACTCAGTTGTTGAAGGGAATTGGCATGTATATATTCTCTCTCCTCTTCTTCCTTGCAAGATTGGCTTCTAGGTTTAGAGAAATATGTGGCAAACAAAGGGGAGTGTGGTCACTGACACCCCTTTGGCTCTGTCTGGAACCATGGCTGGCTGTTCTGCTTCTGAGGGCCTCACAGTGATATGTGCTGAAGGGGTGAGTATGTGGTAAGGCCTTGGGCTTCTCACCTGCTAACTGGGGCCCCAATGCCTCTGTATTGTCTGTCATGTCTTGGCCTCCAGTTTAGATTGCCCATGTCTTTCATGATTTAACTATTATTGATAATGGCACTTTTTCAAACTAAGGACTTTTTATTTTAATTAAATAATTTAATTAAATTTAAAAAATCTTACATCAATTGTTAGCCCGAATCCTAAAATAACAACTATAATAATACACAGCTCAATATTCTAGGCTGGCCAAGTGAGCATAGAAGAGTTAAGAAAAGTTTAGAAAAGTTAAGACACTTTAAGGACCCCAAAACTGCAGTACACTTATAATGTATCTAGTAACTCAATTTTGTTTTACGTTACATTTACACCATCAATGTCCTAGATGTTCTAAACTTCACTCCAAAAGATTTATTCTTCAAATTACTCTTAATTGTAAAGATATAAGAGCATTCTTTATGATGTGGGTTGAACTGTCCTAAATTCATCTCCCATACCAATGACCACATGGTCCTAAGCCAGACATTAAAGAATGACTGAATTTATGAGTAATATTGACTCCTTTTCCTAGAAACTATGTACTTCTGTGTGGCAGACTGCATTATTGTTAATATTCTGGTTGCCTTTCTGTCATATCTCACAGCCCCATCTAGGAGCATTATATTGGACAGAATGTTAAAGAATGGTTTTGGCTTCAGTCCAGTGCAATATAAGAGACGAAACATGTAGGAGTTGTAAGAGTGTCTAAAACCAACACACACACACAAAAGGGCAAAAACCCAAACAAAAAAATATAGAGCAAAGCCATAGTCATGCTAGAGCCAAACTACAACATGAATGAAAAAGTTTCTGATAATAAGCCACTAAAATTTAAGGGTTGATTTTGCTATGCACAAATTTTAATGCCAAAAAGCAGAAGAAAAGATATTGGGTTGTAATACCACACTCAAAAATATAATGTGTAACTGGCTTCATCTAACAAGTAGAAAAGTACCCCTAAATGACTACTCAAACGTTCCATTCCTTCTAGAAGCATGGCTTCTAGTTCATCCTCACTCAGTTATCCATTTCTGATAGTCTTTTTCTCACTCCTAGCAATTTTTCCCCCCAGTACTGTGGCTGGAACTCAGGGCCTGGATGATATCCCCTGCGCCTCTGTGTTCCAGGCTAGTGCTCTACCACTTGAGCAACAGCACCACTTCCTGCTTTTTCTGAGTAATTTATTGGAGTCTCACACTTTACTTCCCAGGTTAGTTTTGAGCCGCAGTCCTCAGATCGCAGCCTCCTGAGTAGCTAGGATTACAGGCGTGAGACACTGGCGCCGGCCCAAAACTTACTAGGCTTCAGGAGTATGTTTAAGTCCTGTTTCCTCCTTGAAGTTGAAGTAATTGAGAACAGAAAGGATGTTTTTATAATTGTTTCTTATCACTTGGACTTAAGACTACTGCTGTGTAGTTTACTGAGATATATGATAAGGACCTGATAAATATCTGCTGTCAGTGGACAGATGGGAGGTTGGACACTAAAGTAATAAAAGCCAACTGTTCCTTTAAGACCCGAAAAAACATTAGTGCTGTGAAGCCTTTGAGTGACAGAACAGAGGAAGGACAAAATCCATACAGTTAAAATAGGAAGATATGGAAAAAGAAGCTTAAATGTGCAGATACATGTAAAACTTTTATAAATCACGATGATTTCAGACAATTTTAGCAACAGATAAACATTATCAATATTATTTTAAATGATGTTAAAAATAGCCTTATCTAGTCTTTTGGACCACAATAATCTCTAATGAGGAAGTATTTTGGGTTTTGATTTTAATGTATTTCCACTTATACTGATAGAAACAACTTTAAAATATACAAACAAGAAAACAGGACAAAAATCGTATTTGAATATCTGGCTAATCTTTGAGGAATATTTACAATCTAATGTAATATGGCAAATTATTATACAATCAGCAATATTAAGAATTAAATGCACTTACAACTTGTTATAAACCTAATAACTATTTGGTATGCTGAAGTAGAACAGCTTTAATTGAAGTATTAAATGAAATGACGCTTATATTATCCTCCTAAAGATTGCTATCACTTCAGACCTGCTTAATAAAAACCAATGGGTAGTAGGTACACACACACACACACACACACACACATACACACACACAGGATCCAATTAATATGCTAGTACTACTAGGAGGACATTATAGTTTTTGTTGAAGAAGACTACATCACTAAAATGTTAAAAATGTAGAGAAATTTCAACATACATGAGCTTTGTGATAAGGGTTGTTGTCTTTGATTCCTGGCAAATATCTACGCCTTCCCAAAATGGTCTGAACAAACCCATCTCTTTTACAATTCTTCACAGTCTCTTTCATGAAATGACTAATACCTACAAAGAAAATACAGAAATACTTAGTTAAAATCAAACTACATCCTTCATTGCAATAAACATATCTAAATTTACAAAAAACCTCCCAGGATTCTTACTGACAGTACATCGTTGAAACAGCACATCATTTACTTTTTGTAGATCCCGATAAAAACAAAAGGAACTCTAATATAACATGATCTTTGTCCCTTCTCTACCCTGCAGTGCTGGGGATCAAACCTGAGATTTATTAAAAAAACTAAGCAAGAGTTCTACCACTGAGCTGCACTCCTCGCCCTTGGCTTGAGACAAAGTCACACTATGTAGCGTAAGCTGACGTTGAACTTGTTATGTAGTCCCAGGCTGGCCTCAAACTTGTAATCTTTCTGATTCTGCCTCTGGAGTATTGACATTACAAGTATGTACAACCATAGTAAGCTCTATACCTTTTTAAATCAACAATAGCAAAATATGTGCTACACAATCTCAGAACAGCAGTTTACTCTAGGATCTTGAGACCACTTGACATTACTTTTCTGCTTCTTTTTTCCCTACTGTTTTCTACTCAATGACCTATTCTACCTTTACTCTTTACTCTTACCATTTTGAAGCTTAAACATTTCAATAATACCTGGGTACTAAATATTATTACATGCCTGTAATCCTAATCTGAGAAGACAATTCTGTGAGAGTCTTATTACCAATTAACCAGCATTTTCTCGGACAATTGATAATACAATTGCAAGCTCATATGATTAAGTATATGCTTAACTTTGCCAAAAGAGACATACAGTTTTACCAGTAAGAGAAAAGTGATACAATGGCAATTTTTGCTTGTTTTTAATTTTAGCCATTTTAGTATTTCTGTAATGCCATTTCTCTAGTTTTCCTCTGTGACTAATAACAACACTTAATGTGGTCATTCATATTTTCAGGTAAACTATCTATTCAATCTTTTAGCTTTTGTACTGGACTGTTAGAGCATATATTCTGAATACAATTTCTTTGTTGGCTAACAGATAATGTATATATAAACTGTGCTTGACTTACTTTTTTTTTTTTGGGTCCGGTCGAGGGCCTGGGCGCTGTCCCTCAGCTCTTCAGTTTAAGGCTAGCGCTCTACCACTTGAGCCACAGGGCCACTTCCGGCTTTTTTTTCCTGCTTATGTGGTGCTGAGGAATCGAACCCAGGGCCTCAAGCATGCAAGGCAAGCACTCTACCACTGAGCCACCTTCCCAGCCCCTTACTTTTTTTTTTTAAGGTTTTCCTTTCTTTTTCTTAGACTCAAGGCCTGAACAATGTCCCTTAGCTTTTTTCCTCAAGGCTAGCACTCTATCAAATGACACACAGCTCCACATCCAGTTTTTTTTAGTGGTTAACAGAGAAAAAGAATCTCATGGACTTTACTATCTGGGCTGGCTTTGAAGCACAATCTTCAGATCTTAGCCTCTAGAGTAGCTAGGCTAACAGATGTAAGTAGCCAGTATCTGGCTTTTACATATTCTTAATAAAGTCTTTCACAGGAGGGGGGGACCAAGATGGCGACGGGGCAGTAGGGAAACGCCACAGCTCTCCCCAACCAAAAAGAGAGTTCGAGTTCCAACGCTTAATCTCCCCAAGAGACCGACAACAACAAAAAGACGAACACTCAGAGAAAAACCAGAGGTGGAAAATAACAAAAAAAGAAAGAGAGGAAAAGAAGAATTTCAGAACAGAGAAGAGCAAAGACCCCTCCCCCAACCTTTACTGGCCGCATGGCAGAGCGCCAAGCCGCCGGCCAGCTGGCCCGGCGGGGGCTGCCGGAGCCCCAGAGAGACAGGGGGCCGCTTGCAGATCATCAGGTACCGGTTCGCAGAACAGCGGATTGCCAGGAACAGAGAAACCTACCAGCCGCGATTCTCCACGAGGATCCCACCCCCACCCCTCACTCTCCACCGGAGCGGAGAGGCTCCATCCCGCCAAAGCCGCCCGGCACCAGCAGCGCGACAAAGGAACCTGTCGGCAGACCACCTGCCTGATCGCAATCGCAAGGACCCGGCAGGGGCCGCCCAACCCAGCCCGCAACCACCCCAACTGAACTCGGATTGCAACAACAACTGATGACCTACACCACACAGAAACAACCAGCTCCAGGGTGAGTACTTCACAGGGGACAGTGCATCCCTCAAGGGAGACCAGAGCTGGAGGGAATCCCCAAACCCTGACCTAGACTCCCTACCCCAACACCGGGACCACAGGACCCACTAAAACTGGGAACTGTTCGAGAGCTCCACCAGCCGGTGGAGCACACTCTGCTGGCCAGGCCAGAGCAAGAGTGCCCCTGGAAGGGAGCTTAAATGCCCAAGCCAGGAACAGCGCCCCTGGGTCAAGACTACCAACAGTAGAAGAAATTTAAACTGTGTCCCCCAGGCTGCATAACCTAGGTGGTATACACAGCAGCACAGGCCTAATGAGTGCGCTCCAGGCTGCATAACTTAGGTGGTATACACATCAGCACAGGCCTAACGAGCACGCTCCAGGCTGGGGCCGGAACCAGGCCCGGGGATCCGGCGCCTGAACAACACAACCAACTCCTCCCGACTGAAGTAAAAAGCTGAGCATACGCCTCAACAGAGGGGAGAAAACCAGGAAACAACACTCCCC